TGTCTCGAACAATCTCCTTTTGTTGCTTAGAGGTGAGAGAGAACTATAGAAAGTCTTGGTACGAGCAAAAGCTTTTGATAAAAGCTGACTGAGAGGTTCCCTGGGTTTTGGGGCTAAAAATCTTAAAAAGCATCTGTTGGGTTGTCAGAAAAGTCATGACACATTTCTGCATAGAAAAACACGTCATGACTTTTCTGACACCCCGATGTAACACATGGTGGTCATCATTGATAACATGTGAAAGAGAGGCAAAATAAAGACTAGGTGATCTGTTTCGTTGGCGAGGAAAGCCTGAAATGTTAGCACGGGCAGTTTGAATAAACATAAGATTTTTCTTAAAGTAGGAATAACATGTTTTGTTTTTTTTTTCAGCATCTTAGTTTTTATTAACATGAGTTTTTAAAAACAAGCATCTACACCAGCGTGGGGGATAAAGGTGGGCGAGGAGGAGAGATGGAGCAGGGAGAAGGGTTTCTGCTCTATTGCTAATAAAGTTCCAGGTTCATCCCGTCATGGATTTCATAGTCCCCTAGAGACACGTGATCCTTGAAAATCGTGTACCACTTTTTCAGCACGATCTTGTTCCAACGGGTGCCAGTCTGGGCTGCAAGCAGCTTCTTAAGGTCCCTGATGGTGTCATCCATGTTGCATTTCATGCGGACCTTCTTCCCCAGACGGTCGTTGCAAACCACCTCGATCATCCTGGCTGGAGCTCGAATCACCTTGAACCCGCTGACGCCACAACCTCCTGGCTCGAACGTTTAGCCCCAGCTTGGAATAACATGGTTTTTAACCTTTCTTTTTTTATTACTCAAAAAAGCTTCATTTATGTTTTTTCAGAGGTTTTTGCTATAGGGCACGTGTGCTCACCAGCAAGACAGAGAGAGAGAGAGAAAGAGACAGACAGAAAGAGAGAAATCACCCCCCAGGGGATGGCCATTCCACAATCCGTTCTCCATTCTTCTCTCGGGACCTTGGTCATGCTCGCATGCATGCCCAGTGTGCGTTTAAGCCACCAGGCCTGGGACTCGCACCGCGGTCGACTACATGGGAGTCCAGCGACAGAGCCATTATGCCAACTGCAGATCCCAAAAGCTTCATTTTTTAAATTGAGTTTTCTGACCTTGTGCTTGTGCCCTGAAGACTTGCATGGCGATTTTCTGCTCCTCAACAAGTAAAGCACAGTTGATCTGGCCATGGAGACGTTTAGTGCACAGAGAGCCCCTGTAGTCCTGCTAATGTGTTTCTCATAAGAACTTCTGGTCTCGCAGCGTGAACCCCTCGACATCTGCCCAGGCACAGCCACATGCAGATTTTGGTGCTTTCCTAACCTTGTTGGTATAAGATAAACCATCCTACTAGCAGGAGTTGGGGACAGCCTAGTTTTGTTGGAGGCTGTATTGTAGAAAACCTTTGCTGTATGTCTAACGCTGGGCCATTCTAGGCACCTCTAGACACCGTCCCTGGAAGAGGCAGGAATAGCATTTTTTTAAAAATTATACTTTATTAGTATAGTTTTGACTTTACCACTGATAATTATTTATAAGAAAGGCATTTTTACTTTAAAGTGAAAAATGAAAATGCAGTGTTTTTAAAATTATTCATTTAATTGTAGCTTCTATCATCATTTTTTTTTTTTAAATTTGCTACAGGGTATGTGCTCACCAAAGAGAGACAGAGAGAGAAAGAGAGAGAAAGTAAGAAAGCAAGTTTCTAAGTCTGAGACTTGAACCGTGGTCAGCTATGGTAGGAGTCCAGTGTCTTAACCACTGTGCCCCCCTGCTGGCCCCTAAATGCAGTGTTTTTACCTTGAGTGGAGTATTAAGGCATACTCTTGAAATCTTGTGCCATTCTTTAATTACAAGTTACCATATTATTGTAATAAGCTTTTCATTAAAACAAAAACTTTTCATACCCTCTTAAAAATTGTCCTACATTTCTAAGAATTACATACGCAACATCCCTAATCCAAAAATTTTAAATGCAAAATGCTCAAAACACCAAACTTTTTGAGCACCTACATTATATCAGAAAATTCCACACATGACCTTATAGGATGGGTTGTAGTCGAGATGCAGTTCACATTGGGTATAATTCACATGTCTTGAAATCTGTGGGAAAAAAATCTTAAATTTGAGACATTTTTGGCCCCAAGTATTTTGGATAGGGGATAATCAACCTATATTATAATTTTATGATTTTTAGACTGATTCAGTAACAGTGTACAAAGATGTCCTAGTTTATATGGAACCACAGAGGAAAATATAAATTTAAATCTTTTTGATTCTTATCATTTCTCTCACAAATGTTTAGTCAGCTCTTTTTTATTTTATACTTTATTTTCATTTTAGACACTCACAAAATTATTAGCTCTTGAGTGATTTAGGCTAAATAAGTTGTATTACAACCCTGGAAACAAGCAATTTATTTCAACAGGTATTGAACATCTTATGTAAAGACACTCTGCTTATCATTTAAAGGACATACAAAGGCAAATCAAATCTGTCAGACCTGTTTTCAAAGAGCACTTCTAGAATGAGGAAAAAAGAATCTTTTCTGGTCATTTTATGAGAGAGCATCTGAGATGGCGACACAGAAGTAGCTACTGGGCAGCTTAAATAGCACACATTTATTATCTCAGAATTTCTGTGGTTCCTCAGTCCAAACACAGCTTAGCCTGCATCTGGCCAAGGTAGCCCTTGAAGTGTTGGCCAGCGCCAAGGTCTCATCTGGTAGCTAGATGGACCCACTTTCCAGCGTAGGTGGTTGGCAGAATTTATCTCCTTGTGATTATAAGACCAAGATCCCTAGATTCTTTGGCAGAATTTATCTCCTTGTGATTATAAGACCGAGACGCCCAGTTTCTTGCAAGCTTAGCTCCTGGGGGTGCTCACATACCTCATGACCCTCTCACAACATGGCTGGAAACTTCAGCATCAGCTGGGAAGAAAGTCTCTAACATCGGTCGACCAGGACAGCATAGTCTTGTCATCAAGGGTGAATATCTCATCATCTTTGCTGTAGTCTATTGGTTAAAAGTGCACCACCCACACTCAAGGGGAGGGAGTCATACAAGGAGGTGAACACCAGAAGGTAGAGATCATTGAGATTACCTTTATTGGTGTGCACCCTGGGTAGTTTCAGCCTCTTCCAGGATGTAAATTGAGTTATTCAGAATGCAGGCTCTGTGTCAGACCTAGCTAGGTTTGACTCCTGACTCAGTGACTGACCAGACTTATGAGCACTAAACCTCAGCTTTCTCATCTGGGAGTGGGGGTGAAGATCTATCTTATGGTGGTGTCAGGACTTAATGAGGTAATGCAGGTCACTGACTCAGGTCAGTGCCCAGAGCACAGGAAAATACTCAATACTGCTAATGTACATTATCACATTTTTGAGCCTCAGCCACCTTGAAGAATAAGTGATTGAAATGTTAATTTTTGTGAGCTCATTTGCCAAGTTAAATAAGTTGATGTGATTTTTCCCCCTAATTACCAGAAGATATGTGCATACTAGCAAAAAGAGAAAACACCCCCAATGGGGTTTGGTCACATTGCAATCTTTTTACCTCCATTTCTTCTTTTGGTGAGGATCCTGAGCATATACACGTTTGGTATATTTTTCAAGTCACCAGGGCTTGGATTCAAACCTTGGTCAGCCATGTGAGATCTGGCTTTGTATGCACAGTGTTTAGCCGCTGTACTGAAGGGCCGGCCCAAGTGTATGCTCTTGGTTCAGGATTTGAAACAATCTAATGAACTTTCTGTTATTTCAGTGTGAGTGTGAATGAATACATTCATAAATTCATGGAACTGGAAAAAAGGATGGTCTCTTGGAGTTTTTCTGTCAGTCTCCCATTTTACAAGTGAGGAAGCTGCAACCACATAGAAAATTTACTTTATTTGGCTAAGATGATGTTAGCCAAACTAGTGACTAAGCCAAAACTGGAATACTGACCTCTTTTTTCAAGTTACTGCCTTTTCTACAATGTTTAGCTATATTTCATACTTTGTAAAAGTTGCAATAAAAAATTTTTTACTCTACCATATAGACAGACTAGATACTCCTTTCCCAATGTGACAATAGTTTTAATACCAAGAAAGAGGCATATGCGTAGAAAAGTTCAAGGCCTAAAGCCTAAAATAAGAATTTGAAAGTTTTCTAATGACAAAACTGTCTTTTCAGCTGTCTCTATGGTATAAAACATGATTCGTTTAAAGTTTAACTTAAATGAAAATTTAAATTTAACTAAATTAGCTACTTACATGTGTACATGTGTCTATATTGAATTGAATTAAATTAGCTACTGAATTTGAACTAAATTACCTACTTTGATGTATATATAGGTCTATACTGATTGTGACTATACATTGTATTTGAACTGATTCCTAAAGGTACCCTATTGATAGTAATGAAGAGAATAAACAGCATAGAATCTTGTTAAAGCAGTATTTCCTGTATGTTTTAATCCATGAGAATTGGGAAAGAAGGCTTTATTATATTGCTTTCTTTTAATATCCATTTATCAGTCTCCATTTTTGTGCCAGATGTTTTTGCTAGTTGCATGGAGGAAAAGAAGTGTCACCAAAATTCTAGTAATCCTTCCACTCAGAGAGAACTACTCTAAAACATGCTGATAACCTTTTATATTTGTTTTCTGAAAAACAAATATAAGCTTTTTTAAAATTATGATTGCAGATGCAGTGGTGCTTATTGTAGAAAGAAACTAAATTATTTGTTGACGATAACATGTACGTTGATGTGCTTGATTGAGCCAATATACAATGTACTCTGGATGGAAAACTCATTTTGTATGTTGGAATGATGTACAGTGAATGAATGTAAATAAATAAATTAAAATAAAAAATAAATTAATTAATTTTTAAAAAATGATTAAAAGGCCTAACCTCCACCTCCCTCACACCAGCCCCAGCTCCACCCACTACAGGCATCTATACAGTGGTGCCTAGATTTTCGTTCTGAGAGTTAACATTATAACATCTCTAAACTATTTTTAATTCTAATTTTAGATTTATCAGCTTTACACAGTATTTGTTGTCTTCTTGTTACAAAATATGAAGAAACCATTTATTAAACTAGGAGGCTATCTTCTTTTCACCTTTCAATTTTTAAGACTGTTTTTACCTTGGAAAGATTTTCAGCATTTGTACTGCTGCAGTTATTTCTTGTACTTTTTCATAGGCTAGTTTAAAAATGGAAGGACCTAATAATCAGCATTCATATTATTATGATTATGTTACATATATTGGGTCATTGGAAAAGACATGACACATTTTTGCATAGAAGACATGGGAAAATACGCATGACTTTTCTGACAACCCAATACATTTATTTTAGAACTAAATGCATACATATCTATCAGAATGTAAATATTGTTCTAAGATTTTAGACTGTTGGGAGAAATGTATTAAGCATTCCAGTCTAAAACGTTTTTCATGTTTTTCTAGCTTTTCTCATTTCTGTTCAGCTGTTGCTCTTCTTTATTTCTCATATTATTTCTTTGAATACTATTTTCTGTCTTGATCTGTCTCTTAGTACTTTTGTCATGTAGGTTTCATGTTAGCAAATTTTCTGAGTTTTAGAAAACTTAATGAGGACACAGAGTAGAGATTTTATTTATTCTAATTCTGTTATATGAGCTGTATTTTTATCCATTTACTCTGGGTAGTTGTTTTGTTGATTTTTCTTCATCCTTCTCCTACT